GCCTCATTCTGTTCCCCAGCTGTAAAGTAGCCTTTTGTCTATGTTCACTTTCAGGAGATTCAGTTGATCATATCCAGTTCACCAGGTACATGCACTGACTGATCAAATCAAATTCACTTGTGTTCTTCTGTTTTATCTTATAAGAGGGTAAAACAAACCTCACCAATAATCAGAATAATAGGTTTTCCTCTGTCAGAAGAGTCATCACCAGGACATGAAAGTCACTGACTGAGTCTTGACGGAGACGTCATATGAGCTGGCAGCAGCTCAGGCCCCTGAGTGTGAAAGCTTTTCTCTGTGTTCAGTGAAAACCTGCTTTGTGCTGAATCAAAAAGCCCTCGCTGGTTTTTCTGCTCTCCTCTGGCTGTGTATCTCTCTGATAGCCGTTCCAGGAGCCGGACCTTGGCCACCGCTGCACTTCCCAACCATAAAAACCCCCTACACCCCCTCTCTTTTCTGTCCATTAGTAATCCGTAGAGGGAGCTTTTGCTGAAAACAAATAACAACAAACAAAAGACCAAAGTGGGGCGAGGAATGTGGAAGGGGGTGCAGAGGGAGAACTTCTGTGTGAAATAATTGCGAGGAACAATTTCAAACAGATGTCTGTTTGGACTTGGCCCTGGGCTCGTGTCCCTGTTTAAATATAGTGATTTGATTGGAAAACAAGCAGTGCGAGATGGGCTGGCGGCCAGCCGCGCCATTCGGGGGCTCCCTAATGACCCCCGAGGGTTGAGGGGTCGCCGGAGTAAAAGCAGATCAGAGAGGATGTGGGGCAATCGGCCAGGACAGGGCCCATAAATCTAGCCCATTCTCAGAGGAAGCTATCTTTTTTCACTTGGCCATCAAAATTAAAATACAATCACAATCGTCACATTGTGCTCCCACCAGTGTGCAAAGGTTATAATTCAAAGCTTGTAGACAGAGTTGGGAGGTTGGGTTGGGTGGTAGTGGACTTTAGGGAGGAAGGTCGGCAAGGTCATGTATTTCAGGCTCAATGAGAACTGTTGCTCCAGGGTTGTGGGAAACTATCCTTGTTAATCCGTATATTAAAATATTTGATTACTATGAAAACTGTTGACATTGTTCATAAAACCAAGTGTGACAGTACAACCCATGAACGGTTGCTGTAAAATTCACAGAAACAAGGCACAAAATAGTTTATTCCAGTCTGCTAAATCCAGTTTATGATCACTGCAATCATGTATCATGAATGGGATACATTATTGCGGTGGGAAAAGCATCTGTGAGGGCAAATCTCTGATGGCACTGCTGACCGTAAGTTTTTCTTCCAATTTTCAGGGGCTCAGCTTTTCACAGATGTGTTCGTGTAGGATGGACAGCTGCACTTTATGGCTAAATGGTGCAGGATGATCAGGATCATTTTCATCCCCACTGACCACTGAGGGAACACATGTGCTTCTCACTTCACCAAAAATAATAACTTCATCAGGCGGCCAAAGGAAGAGAGAAAGAGTGCAGAGATTTTTTTTTTTTAAGCCGCAACAAAGGGCTCAGTCAGAGTGGACTGAGCTGAGATCAGTGTCACAAAGCTCTGATACGCTCTCTGCCGGGGCATCAGTAATCACAACACACACAACCCTCGCACACGTTTAAAGTTTAAACCCCATACTGTTTTATGATTAATACCTTTACATTATAAATCATTACTGACTATTCTTTCAAAAGCTGCCAACATTTTTGTTGCAAACAAACCCGGAAATATCCAAACCAGTATTTTTGTTTTCTCAAAATAAAGAGCAAAACTGCAAACCACAGCATGTGTTAATGATAAAGAAGGAACATGTCATTCAGTGCCATGTTTAGTATTGAAAGGAACATGTCTTCTCCTGAATCTGCACCTATGTTTGGTTCACAGAGCCCCCTTTCACTACAGTGTGCTGTAGAAAGGACAGACTTACCACCAGAACGACCTTTTCACCCCCTACAAGATGACCCCCTGAAGATCGCTTACAGCCATATGTTGCAGTGCTACATATACTTTGGGCTAACGTGACTCAATTGATCTTGACTGACAAGGCAGGAAGACAGAAACACTGCATTTAGCAAACAAATTACCTTGTTTTACTACATTTGTGAACATGTACTGGCAACTTCACAGAATTGTTACTGGGACACTGTCTGTCTCCTGTACACATTAGTTACTGATCAGCTAAATAACAGTTAACAGCCTGATAATCATGACCCACACGGTATCACAGCATCTGCAGCAGTCTAACAGGAGATTGTGTGTGCAGGTCTCTAAAGAGCATAAACTGGGAGAAGCAGAAAAAGGTGGGAAGCATCATTCTGTTGACCATTCATGCCTCAGATGACACCACAATTCAGACTATCATCCTGTGAGTACTTCTGTGTGGTGACCCCCCATCGTCCTCCACCCTCAAGTCTTCTTACAATCATCTGACTTACGCTGTTGTGCACCAAAAAGGTTCAAATATATCAGCAACCTATGAGAGGATATTTTTTAATTTCAGCCCTGTAGGTTGGTATATCCATATACAGTATATTGGGTTACCAGGATATCTAATGCACATAGAATGATCACGTGCCATTTATTTAAGTATGTTAAACTCATTTGCATAAATCTAGGTTTTAATTAACATACATTTCCTGATTTTTTTTCTGAAATAAACAACTGTTATCATTTCGCTGTTCTGAGACCACAACACAAAACTACATTGTATTTGTTAAGTTGAGAGCAATCACATCCCAAGGAGTCTTTATTATTTCTGAACTTGCGGCGCCCTCTTGTGTATGATACAGGCTGAGGAAATGCATTTATTGCAAATAAGTGTGTATATTTTGTTATATCTTTATGGTCTTTTTACAATGACATTATTGAAGATGGCATTTATTTAAAATGTAACTGTTTAAGGAAGGTGAATGGGTGGATTAGAGAACAGAAAGAAAGTCAGGGGACCTCGAGGTGATCAGAGATAGACTATAGTACCAGCTTGTATATATGGTGTAGTACATTAAAAATAAATGCTAATATGGTAATGTTACAGTACATCTTTATGAGAATATACAAATATTACAACTCACGCTGTTTCTGTTTGGAATGCAAAAAAATGTAGTTTGAACAAAATCAGAAATTTAAAATATGACAACAAGGGATAAAAGTTATGGGCTTAGTATTTAGGACAGATATCTTCATGAATAAAAACAAAGAGAGAGCTTTTCTAAGTAAAGTAAAACAGCCCAAAGGCCATTTAAGCAAATACATTGTATCAATAAAATATACCATTTTGAAGCAAGATATTTAAATTCATGGAGGAGTGTAAATTAATATCACACATTCTATTAGGTGATGGAGAGTGTGACAAAATATGTTTCTGCTCCTCTCATGAGCCTTTTGTTTGTTTTGTGACTTTGGCCTTATTGTTTTTCTTGTGTTTGGTTTTTGGATTTGTGTCTCAGTTATTAGTTGTAGATATTGTTCTGTTTGTACTCACCTGTGTTTCTTGTTTCAGAGCACTTCACTTCCTGTTCTGCTGTGGGCCAAGTTGTGATACTGCAGCATTTCACCTCTTTCTTTCCTCCATGTAACATTTGTATTTTATGAGTAGATGTTTCACACGTGTTTGTTTCCACACAAACATTCTCATGCTTGCTCAGCTTTGTCAGGTCCCATGCCAGCCCAGTGTCTTAGTCTCAGTCCTAACAACTGTGTCACCTCTGTCAGATGTCAGTGCCTTCTCAGCTACCTCATTCCCTTCCACCTTCACATGGGCTGGGACCCAGAGGAACTCCACTGAACAACATCCCTATTTAACCAGACCCACACCTCCTCCAGCAGGTCTGACCAGACTCCTGCAGCTTCACTCCCTAGTCGTGATCAGAACTGAAACTGAATCTTAACATTTACCCATGCCTAATCTAAAGTTATTTATTTTGCTCTAGATACCGAAACCTCATCAGATAGTTTCGTATTTAAAATCTGGAATGTTGAGATAATGTATATTATGATTTGGTGCTATAAAAATAAAATACATTTTTAAATTTAAGGACAATTTCTGATTTTTCAGTGGTCCATCTGTGTAAATTAAGAAATACTGTTGCCATCTGTTATTTAGCTTGTTTCTGACAGACTGGGGTCTATGGGAGAAGGAAGAACATAATTTAAAATCATCTAACCCTAACCCATATCCCACTTAACATTTTTAGGAAAAGGTGGAGTTAAAAGAAAAAGGTTTTAAGTGGAAAGATTTGCAAAAAGTATGGTCTAGAGTATTTTCCAAAGCCAGATTCATGTCATCTTCCACATACGTTCAGTTTGAACTTTATTCATTTCACTGTCAACACCACAACCTGTTTGTGCAGAGGAGTCCTCAGGGTGAGAGGATACCCTGCAGCCAGGCTTTCTGCAGGGCATCCTCTAACAAATGACAGAGCACATCTTCTCTGACCCCTGTGGAGACTGTGTACACTGGTATTTGATGAGATGGCCAAAAAAAGGCCAAAAAACAAAACAAAGGCCATGACAGAATTTATGGTATATCTGAATCAGGTGACCCAGCCAAGCAGGCAATGGTTCTAATGGCAAGAGGGGAAGGCATATATAGAGAGAGATTCTCATTCTCCATTGTCTCTTCAGTTGCTGATCAGTCGATAAGCCCTTTAGGTTTGTCTTGCAACCTGGGACACAGCAGGACATTATTCTGTTGATAACATCATTTAAACTTCCAGGACGTGACAGAGGAAAATGGCCATCATGTAAGAAAGAGTTGTCCACTAACCAGAGGGTCTGTGGTTCAATAGTCTCTCCCATTCTGCATGTCGAAGTGTTCTTGGGCAAGATACTGAACCCACAATTGTCCCTGGCGACTGTGCCAGCAGTGTTTACCGTAATGACGGTAAAGAGACAGCAGCAAATACTGTCCATGCAAATCAGGTGGAAGAAGAAACGCTGTTGTTCTCTTAACAAACTTTTCCATGAACAATGTCTCCAGGTAGATATACTTCATTTAAAGCAGTGATTCAAAGCAATACATTTTAATAGTGCAAGGTACGTACAAAAACATTCCTTCAAAATTATAGGATTATTCAAGAGTTTATGCTGATGAAAAGGAAGTTGCTATCACAGTCTTTTTCTGGGCCGTCTTTTAGATCCTTTTGCGTCCTCATTAATGACACAGAAAATGTTCAGAAAACAAAGAACCTGAGAAAGAAAAAACAAATCATATCCATGATTTCACAAGCACCACTGTTAAAAGTTAAAATCATTTTCTTTTGAATTGTATGCAAACAACATGACAAATATTGGATTAACATTTACATTTCACCTTACGCTGTAATATATACATCTGTGATTACATGACAGACACTGAAGCTGGTTAAAGAAATGCTTTTTTGTTACATGATATCTCAAACAGTAAATAATTAGTGACCTAATCTCAGTTTCTACTACAAGAGATTTTGACTGTGATGCAAACCCTTCCTCCTGCAGTAATCATTTAAAAAAATACATCGAATATGAATAATATGATAAATCTGTAGTGTTCATAAACAAACTTCAACGCTCTGCCCATGGTTCACTGTGGACAGCATTTACACCCATTTGAAAATGAAACTTCTCGTCCAAGCAGACGGCCATTATTGCAGCAAGACATTTTGTAGCTTATAGTGGAGGGCTTGTTGTTCAACACAAAGTTTATGTCTCTATCACAGTTTGTCTCCATGATCCAGCATTGTCGAGGAACACGAGGAAACAAGAACATTGCTTGTCTGTAGCATTTGATACCTTCGTATTTAGCTGTGGTGTGATTTCAATTGCTTCTCCCAATATGTCAACTTTAATAGCCCAGATGGATGTTTGGAAAAAGAGCTTATTCAGTCCACCAAGAAAAATCTACATGGGAGAAGCCACAGATGAACCATCACTGTCTCACTCTACCACTGCAAACGTCATATCACCCAGACCTGAGATGAAAGAAGATCAACAACCCCAAACGGATGAAAAACATCAAAAAAATGATGATTATAAAGATTTTCTTTTGTAAAAGATTGATCTGTAAAATGTTCAAGTAATGAAATGTTTGATTGACTGTCAACTGTCATTGTAATGATGCTTATTTGGTGCTGACCTTCAGTTTCTGTCCAACCATAAGAGGTGGTCTCGGTCTGGATCAAACTAAGCCGTGGTTTGGTTTGTTTGCAGTGTGAAAACAACCTTTTGTAGTTTGACTGCAAGACGTTGAGACAGCATTAAACAAAAGAAGAAGAAAATAAAGCCTGAATGGTCTCTCCAGAAACGGAGTTCCCCAGCAGCTGCAGGGTTCCTTGAATTCCTTCAGCACTAATCTTCACTATGTGTATTTAAAAAATGTTTTACCCTAAACATTGATGATCTGTTTAAAGTGGTTCTGAATAAAACCATTCAAGTTGCAATAACAGGAAAATAATAATTTAATTTTGATTTGAAGTTACATTTTTGAGGGGGGCTGTCATTAACTAATTTGATCGTATTAGTATCATTGTAAAGAGGCCAGTAAGAGTTCTGTTAAACTGGCAATGGTGAAGACTTTGGTAAGAAGATAATTAGCAGCTCAAAGAATCTCCTTTGACTCTGCCTAATTATCCATTGAAAATCAAGTGCTGTGGCTGATTATATCTACCATAAAAGGAATGCCAGCATGAAAAAACAGAACCCCCCCCCCCCCCCCGGCCACACAGGTGGTGCCATATTAGCATATTCAGAGGTCCCGTGACAAAATGAGGAAGGTTAAGAGTTACATTTAAGCCTTTGTAAAGCCATGACAAAACCTTTGAATATTTACGTATTTAAGGATTCAAATCCTGTTTTGGTCAAGGTTAGACAAGGTAACATCATCAGACTAACTCAGTCAATAGAGAACAATAAAGGCAGGTGTCAGACTGACAAAAATATGTGTATTTTTGACGAAAGATGTAAAAAATGTTGACTCCTATTAGGACAACATTGGTGTTACCTGAAGGTCTGGACTTGGAAAATACCTTACAATACATGCAGAGGCCACTCTGAACAATTGCGTGACTGCCTAAGCCTCTAAGGCTAATATCCCTCAACCTGCTTTTCTATTTTTACTGATTGTTGGTCATGAAAAGAAAGTGGTCACATGTGCTAAGATATCACATGAAGTGCATCACATGGCTAATTCGAAAAGCACGAAGACCAGATCGCCCATTGAAATCACTAATTTCTGCACATCCAGGTGCTGAAACTGGAGACTGTGCTGCAGTACAGTATACACTTCAAGGAGGCGCTTCACTAATATGCTGCCTTGGGGATTCTAACACCATCAGGAAAGGCTGGGTTTGAACTGTGAGTGTGCAAATGGCCATACATTAAATTGCCCTGTGAAATGCATTACATCTGCTCCAAACATAAACTTCCAAACAAGCAGCAAGTATCAAAAAGGGACTAATATACAAAGTCCAGTACAAATAGGCTACATTGTAGTGATGGGAGCTTTTTTCAAGGTTTTCAAACAAACACACACGCGCACACACAAGCACGCGCACACACACACACACGCACACACTGCTGCTCCACTTCTGTTAGTGTTAAGATCAAGTTCAACATTTACCATTTCATTTGGTCACATGACACTACAGTAATTACTGATCATGTCCAGCACCTTGAGTACCATAGAGTTTTCTTTTCACACAGAAAATATTAAAAAGGAGAAATCAGAGTCTCAGTCCGTGATGGCTGATATGTGAACATCAAAAAAGAGATTGTAGAATTGGCTGGGCCGTCTCAACACTGTAGAAAATAAATAGTTTCAATAGGAGGCACTGGGGTAGTTCAATGTCTCTAAAAGCTTCCAGATTGTCAACTCGGCGAGATCCACCATCGCCACCTAGAGGAATAAAGACAAATATATTAGTAGTGCACTAGGATTGAAACCGTGTGTGTGTGTTGGCTCTTATCACCACAAACTCTCTTGACATCTTTGTCAGTGTCTTGACTAACTGCTTTTTCACCCGGAGATATTTATTTTCTTTTTTCCTTTTTACTTCTGTCTCGTGTTAGAAGCAGGGTGTCCCCTGCTGTGCACTCACATCGACTTCTACAGACTTTCTGTGCACTATGTATGAGGGGGCCATGCAGAGAAAGTCAGCAGCTTAACTGAGGTGATTTATGTTTATCTTTCTATACAATAACATGCACATTACAAACATCCATCCACAACACATATGTCAAAGCCAGGAGGGGCTGAGTGATCATTTACTTTGTGTTTGACGGTTGGATCACGAAAAGACACTTCCTTCATTGGGTGAGATGGTGTGTAGAGGAATAAGGCTTTCACACAGCTCGCTGTCTTCTGGCAGTCTGTAGGTGGACAGAACAGTGTGTCAATCATCATCACGGTCGTCAATATTACAGCCTTCCCTCACCAAAGAAGTACAGCATGTACACCTGACAGCAGACTAAACTCAGCGAGGCTGTGAGCTACAAATGCTGTCTGTAAGCGTGTTAAGATCAATTCATTTTTAACGAACACACTACGATACAGTAAAACTAATTTCTAACTCTATTTGCTTGCCTCCAAGAAATTAAACTTATTAACACAACACTTTCACCAATGAAAGGACGCAGAAGTGAACATTACAAATATAACTTTTTGTTAGATTTGCTTAAATGGTCACTTTGATCTGACAGTACAAGAGGCAGCTAAAGGAGTGTCTGATTAAGTGTCTGTCAATGCTCATTCACAATGATAAGATAATCCTTTATTAGTCCATCAATGGGGAAATTTGTGGTTAATGTAGTCCACAGTGTATTTTGTCACATGACTGCCCAGTGGAGAATCAGGGTGTTAAATACCTCTGGATGCGATGTTTCCTGCAAATGAAGGCATATACTCTCCTCAGCCCCACCAGAACAGGGTCCCAGTTGTTGTAGTGGCATAAGACCGTGACAATGATGAAGGAGAGGAAGACGGGGATCGCGCCCGCAAAAAACAGCCAAGAAAAACGTACCTGTTCACACACACAGACCAAAGTAACTAGTTACAACTATTATCATTGCAGCACAGTTTTTTCAATTTGTGATTCATTTGAGTTGTAACATCATAAACAAATACTTGCATCACAACAGTAACTTCGATAAACAATTTTGGGTATACAATATGATAAAAACCTCAAAATACCACCCAAAAAATACATTTGAGGAATAATTTACATTGCACCTGAAATATGCACATTGTGCAGATTAGATGAAGTTTAACATTTTGACTTTGCCTTACATCAAATTGAAGTTTTGCAGAAGCTGAACAAACATGATCTTAACCCTTATTTCAAACTCTGGTTCACAGTGTTTGATACATGTTGAACGGAAACTTACCTTCTGCATACAAATGTCTGCCATGATAGAGAGCGGGATGGTGAGGCTCAATGATAGAGTTCCAATTAGAGATGATGTGAGGAAACAGCCCCTGTAAACAGAAAAGAACATCAACTCCAATCAGAAGTGAAAGATTTTTGAGCTGTATTCACTTTAATTCATCAGGGTAGTATCTATATGGAAACTCAACTAACAGTATCAAAAGGTTTGACATAAAATCGGAATTATAATGATCTGGTGACAGAATTGTGACTCACCAGAGCCAGAGAAACTCTGAGAGAACGGTGCCGATGAGACCATTGATGAGGATGTATGTCCACACCAGCTGGCTGGGGAGTTCGAAGGCCTCAAAGCCTGTGTAGTGAAGCAGGAGGAAGCCCGGCCACAGCAGCAGCAGGTTGAACAGACCCACAAACCCTGAGAGACACAACACAGCTCTTACGACAACTTCTGTTGGTAATAGTCGCTACAAGTGCATAGATTCAAGATGGTTACAAGGAACTACATTTTTCAGCCAGCCAAGGGTTTCATCACATTGATAGGGTGCAGAGATTGTTAAGAATTATCTTAGATTACTGAAGCTATAGAAATAAAAATCTTACCTCAATCTGTTGAACACACATTTTTCTTTCCAGCCTTGAAATGGAATATTGAAAATATGCAGACTCATACCAGCCTATGGACTAATTAAGTTGCACTAAATATAACATTAGTGTCAAAGACGCTACATTTAATACCTTACATCAATTTGTGTAACTGCGCATCGGTGTCTTAAAATCCCATGTTCAATCCAAAGCGTTGAAGAGCACGGTATCTTTAGCTAGATACAATGTGCATAGCTGAACCACTGACAATACGTCTCAGATTTGTTTGAATGCATAAATATAATTAATGACATGACTGTATTAAGCTTCTTGTTACACTGTATATCTACTGTAACACTGTGTCAGTTAAATAAGAGAATCAAAAACATTTCTTGTATGTGTTCACATACTTGCCAAATAAAGCTGATTCTGATCCAACACTAAGTCATAGCCATGACAGTAGATCAATTCAAAGCTGAAAATGTCCCATTCTAAAACACATCTGGGACAAATGGATGAGGACAACCTGAAGCTATACTGCCTCTGTGGCAAGAAAAAGACTGGCCTTGTCCTTAAAGAAGCTATAAAGAGTCTTTTCTTACCAAAGAACATGGGAATGTCGAGCTTATCCTCCCGATCCACTCGTCTCTTGATCATTACGATGTAGACAGCGTAAAGTATCGCCCCAGCCAGTGACCACAAGGAACCTTCCCAAAAACGTAAAGGTCATTGCATTTGGAAAGAGTCAAACTGTATAATTGACACAATTGTGATGTTATGTGTGTGATTGACAGATACTTGCTGTCGCCATGGTTACCTATAACACCTTTCTCATCAGGGCTGTCCATGCTGGAGAAACTTACCAGCGTCACACCTCCCATGCTGAATAAGAGAGATACTGCATGAACCGACAGGTAAACAGAGCTATAGCACTTGCAATAGCTATAACAAATATATAACAGTTTATTGTTGGTTTTAGTCTTTTCATGATGATAAAAGATCACCAGACACATTCCCTGATAGTAACTGTTAGATATAATTTCAACTACTATTCAACAAAGTAAGCATGGAGACACATTAAGCAGACACAAAAAGCATCAAACATCCACTCATGTAAATAAACACTGAGCATTGAGACCTCCCAGCCCTTCAATCGAAATGCTCATTCAGCACTTACCTTAGAGCCACAGCTAGCAGTTTGGACAAGGTGAAACGGTCGCTGCTATTGCTGGGAAATATGGCTGCCAAGATAAGCGTAAACAGGCCTGAAGAGGGAAAAAAGGCAGAGCACAGCGGAATCACAAAACCAGACCAGTCACAGCAGTGGATACACTTTTCTTTGGGTTTAATAGACAACCCATCCGAGAATCATTTTCCCATTTTCCTTACTCAACTGTACATTTCATTTACTTGGTATTATGAAATTCTTAGTCACCTGAGGTGGATGACAAAATGTTGACAACTGCAACCTGCATGTCAGACAGGGCTTCCTGGTAGGACAGGTTAGCGAGGAACCACTGGAAGATGAAAAGAGGCAGGGATTTTGTATAAGGAGTGAGCAAAATGACAAACACCTTACATCGCAACAGGCCTGTGATGAACTCCAATTAACTTGTCTTGAGTTTTAATTCAACTCACTGGTAAATCTCTGTTTGTTTGTGTCGTTCAATTATCAAACAAGTAAATCAAAATACATTTTTGCCACCTGGTTTGCAAATAACAAAAAAAAGAATGCTGAGGTGTGTGTGTTATTAATTATGCTTTATAATAAGAACATAAAAAAGGAGACGGGTCAAGTGGTGCTGCAGAGCATAGTGGCTTCACAAAGTATGCACTTTTTTGACACTGTGTTGGAGATGCAAATGTTTAACAAATATACAAATCAGGGCCACTGGGCCCCTGAGATAAAATTGTGGTATGGCATAAATCAGGATAAGTGTATTGAAGTGTATTCATTTCTTTTCATTGTGTGAACACAAATGTGTCCCGGACCACATAATGAAGATTGCCTTCTCAGCTGACATTATCTGTAGTGTTACAGTTTCACCATAATTCTAAAGTAGTTTTATGTTTCTCAGTGTCCATATGGTGATTTGTTTGTGGCCACTGACACAATATCAACACGTTATGATTTCTACTTATTGTTAAATGGTTAAAATCTTTCCAGTAGATCTGCAGCTCATTGATTTATTCAGCCCCTCGTGACTCTCTCCCTCTCTCCCTTCCTCCAACACGCAGACACACCTGTAAACCCTGACTGGGTTAAAACAACATTATTTGGTTTTGACAAACACAAATGGCGTGCATGATTATTTGCATGTAGAGGGGGGAAGTGAGATCTGCTCAATGAACCAGGTGTGAACAGACACATTTAACGCTGTCCACTTGTGATCGGCTCTCTCAGGAAAGATGTTTATGTTTAATACCAGGTCTGCATAGTACCTGAGGTAATGGTTTACCTTTCAGCAAGATAACAACTCAAAACATACATTATGATGATTATAAAGATAAGAGGACTACAGGCTGTAAGAAGCTGTAACTGCTGCAAAAAGAGCTTCCACAATGTACTGAAACAAGAGTCTGAATACTTTCATACATTTCTTTTTTAGAATAGTAGTTACATTTTTGAATTCCACAGTCCAAAGGAGATTTATTCAAGAGCAATTTATAATGAACAAAACTATTTTCTTTCCAGTATTTTACCTCAGTGCACTGAATGTTTATTTCTTCATTTTTTCTCTTACCAGTCGGAGTATCTTGATTCTGAGTGAACCAATGTATTTTCAGATCATGATATACAATTGTTACTGCATGATGGAAATTCTGATGTTGGTAATAATATTAATAATTATTACAATTCTATCCCGTTCTGCTTCTCCTCGTTTAATAGAAAACACTGTGTTTTTTCTAATCAAAGCTGTAATTAAATTATGAAATAATAATAATAATAGCTTAGACTTTTATAGTGCTTATCAAGGGACCCAAGGACTCTTTACATTTTTAGGGGGAAATATGTCGATAATGTTATAAAGAACTGTTAAATTAAAGGTTAATATTCCAGCTGGATTCCACTCACCACAAAGCAGAAGAAGAAGCTGATTTTGGCCACATCAGTGATGGTTAGCTTGCCCACTGTGTGCAGCATGGCTTCATGGTCCTTGGCAGCAGGGTAGGACATGCGGGACAGCTTGGCCTCCAGAGCTTGAGTAGAGGGCAGCTGACGCACCTCCATGATATTACTAAAACGCACCCGCTGCTTTTTGGAAGCTGCTGGGAAGCGGAAATGGAGAGAGTTGTGACTTTAATGGAGACCCAACCACAGAAAGTTTTTTAATGACATTTTGAGGCTGCATTTGTATTCGTAGCAAGACTTGTATTTTATTGAATTCCAAAAAATCTCATCTCTATCAGATGCTAATTAATGAATGGGCTGATCACAAGTAAGCCTCGACATTCAACACAACAGAGACCCAAATATAGTGTCTCAGGACCGCTACCATCCTAAGGGGCATCATTTAATCAGAAAAAACAAAAAGGATACAAATATCTTAGGTTGAAAAAGTGGTGCCTTAAACACAGATGAAGATATAAAAGGGAGCTTTTGGTGATAATAACTAATGCCAGGGTTGAAGTGCTGTAAACAAAAACATGTGATCTCCACATTGGAATTAAAACTTTGTGTTGTGAGCAGAGAGTCCGGAGAAAGTACGGACCCAATTGTGCGGCCATTTTCTGAATTTTCACAGATTTCCCAGACAATAATTCATCTTAATTTTTTTTTTTTTTTTAAATCAGACCTATTTAGAACACTGATATCTACGTGTGCTTGCAATTTGGTGCAGCCTGATTGAATTTAAGGAGACTGTTGGGCCTTGGCAGAGGTATGCAGTGGTATGCAAAGGTGTGCAGAGGTGTGCAAGTGTGCAGAGACGTGCGGAGGTGTGCACTCCACTAATGTGAAATAAAACAGATGAGATGTAAGAAAGGTCAGACAGCGGTTTCTCTTGTTGAATACTGCACTTCTTCCACAGTGACTCTAAACAGTGATGAGGTTATCAACCAGACAAAGCTTCTTATGAGATCCTTGTTAATTTAGAGAAGTAGAATGTTGGTATGAGACAATAAGAAAACTGTACTCACAAGTTTGAAAATCTCCAGTCAAATAATTTGAGTGTTCAGCAGGTACATCCTGGAACTTCACAGGCACATACAGTGGTTCACTCTGCACAAGTTTGAAAGAGAATTTGAGATAAATATATTTTTTAACAAGAAATAGTAGATTGCAGGTAGAATTATCATTTAATCTGAAATTAAACTACATACCAAACGGTTGTTAACAGTAGTGTCAGTGGTGCATGGTGCAAAGTAGGCCTCCGCATCAGCAAACTGCACAAAGATGTAATTGAAACAATCAACAGACAGAATTTCTGCTACACTGACTTAGGAGTCATTTACAATTTTATACTTTGTCAACCCAGACCCTAAAAACATTAGGCAGCATCTTCTAAGTGAGTTTAAACACAGTTCAAATAGCAGATTTTTAGGCCATCAAAACCCCGAATGACCCTGTGTCAAAATTGGAGCTAAGCCTACACAGACTGACCCTTGTGCCAATTAAAAAAAGGTCATAATCAACAGTTTCTATGAGGTTTTCCACAACTTCTGCTGCAGGTGTAGCTAAGAAAAATAAAGTTGATAAAGCTGACAGAAGGTTTCGCTTGTCATTCTGTATAACTGAGGTTGTGAAATGAATAAATGCTTGAAAAGAAAAAAAACATTTGAACATTCTGCCCCCATGTGGTGAGAGTGTGGCTTGACTTCTTACAAACGCAGAGTGGCGACGTTTCAGCGAGCCAGTGCACTGCTGCCTCCAAGGCCGCCACAGCAGGAAACCCAGCAAATACAGCACGAACATGGAGGTCTTGGTGAATGTGCTGAAGAAGGGTTTGTTGTACTCCTGTCGTTTGAAAATGTACTGCGGAAACAATCAAGAGGGAACTGTTAGGATAACCCCTGGTCAACTGATTAACTTCTGCTGGAGAGTTTACACATATATTTGAAGTTTCATAGGTCTGTGCTCTCATTTCAAATATATATTCACCTCAGTTTTCCCTCAAAGACACTTGTGATTTATCTTCTTGTTTAATTCTAGTTTGTCAAGTTAAATTGAGATCTTCCTAAGATCTTAGGAAATGACTAATTATATAGTAATCATAACATTATTATAATTATTATTTTTTAATAATAATAATAATGATATTTACTTATCTTATGCCCCACCTCAGAACATGTAAAAAGGACACGTTGCTCTTTTCATTTTAGTTCACTTATATGGTGGCTGTAGTTTTTTTTCTGCTAGACGTTCTGTGGGAGTCTTAAGTCCAGAAATGAGCAAGCATCCAGTTAAGATGTTTAAGTTTGAAAGTTAAAATATGGATTTCGAGTTATAAACTTTCTACTGTTTAATGGAGTTGCAGTGTTAACATTAAGTATTAAGTAATTCAATACTTTATCAAGCTCTTGTTAGGACAACAAAGATATGTCGTGCTGTGGGGCACAAACAAAACACAGACAAAAGTATTAAGTTAACACCATTGTCTGTTGATCCTGGAACATCTCTCTGTACTCAGGTTACAGAGTACACCTGCACGCCCTCTCTCATTACACTCCTATTGTATTATCTCATACTTCAACCCACCTTGCAACAGCAGGTCTGGACCCTAACCCGACTGTGACAAAGTCCTTACCGAAGTTAGCTCAGAGGAGGCTACCCAGATGACGTCCACCAGTAGGAGTATCACCACCCCCAGGGCCATCCGCCTCCGCTGGGCTGCAGAGCTACCCTGAGAGCTCATCCGGTTCATGATGAATACCCATTCCATCAGGACACTGACAAGAGAGGCATGAAAGAACACAAATATGCATAAGATACTGAAATTCAGAAACTAGCTCACAGCTGCACCCAACATTACAACAGATTACAACAACATTACAGTTAGTAAGTTCTGTGTGTCTCATCCTCAGAAGTCATGCAAATATATGAGCCTGTTTGAGATAACATCTGCAAAGACTCTGATCGTGTAGGACTCTCAGTGAATCAATCACTGAGGTGATCATAGGAGACAATAAAAGTGCAAAGGCCCAGCAGAACAATACTAGAAAGGCTTTTTAATAACATTTCTGTGCACATCTCGTTTCCATAAAAATGTGCAAAATGTTACCTGTGGTGTTTCTGGATGACAGCTCAGTGTCACTGTGCACAGCCAACACCAAGCAGGGGAGTTCACAGCAAACAAGAACCTGCCACTAAAGGATATAAAAGACAGCAAACAGGGGATCAACTGTCAGAACAGACCACAGTGATGAAAACTTACCTGAGTGCAGTAACATCGGGCTAAGTGCCTGTTAGCTTCGTGTCAGGAGGCAGTGAAAGGTGCATAGTAAACAACTAAATGTAAAACAGAGCAGCGCTGGACCGCGTTAGCTTCCAGCTGGTGTTTTAACATCTGTAAGTGAGCTGCTTCCTCAGTCCCTGAAATCCAGCAACACATGTTTTCCAGCTAGCTTTGAATCGCTATTCAAGTGTTGAAGGCGCAGTTGATCACACATTGTGCCGTAGACGGTGTGTGGCTGACAGCAGTTGGTTCAGCTCCCCCATGTCTGCAGTTAACGCTAGCAGCTAACATCGCCGTGCTACGCTCACTTGTTTACCAACATCACACGAGCTAAGCGCTAAGAAGCTGGTTTTAATCGATCACACGCTTGATCAAAGTCGCCATATTTACCTGAGTGTGAGAAGGAGTCATTTAGTTGGCACCATCAGTCCCTCGTCTCCACAAACACACTGAGATTAGAGACAAAATCAATCCGTTGTTACGATCAAATTATTGACAGCCCGACGGTTGTAAACATTAGCATACCCTTCCCTCTTCATTATCAGGTGACATCATTTAACCGGCGCACAGACTTCTGGGATATGAAGTCTCAAGTCGCCTCTTTAAAACCTCATGTGAGTAAGTTATGTCAATTTAAACAGCACGACTTGTCAAGTTTTAATAAGTTATATACTTACACTGTCAGAACTGAGGTATATATATATATATATATATATATATATATATATATACTCACATAGTTTATGTAGTTATATAAAGTCACAACTAAACATTTTGCCCTGATGAAAAAGGCTTTTTATATATTTTATACACACACACACACTGAAAAAAAAAACTTGAAGTTAAATGAAGTTTGTTCAAATAATAAATTAAGCAAGTTGAATATAAACAGTGTATTTGCTGTATGCTTTGATGATGAGGTTTCTTATTCGACTTGATTTCCCTTGTAGAACATGATTTCACACACAGGATATCACACACATGAAGAAATAGATCATGGGAAAAATTGTATGCTCAATCTATTTTAGTTACAACTTTGCAGCACATGTTCGTACAGCAGAACCAACTGCCTAGTTGCAGATCAGAACAAATAAATGCATCACTTTTGAATGGATTCAACTAGTGAATTATCGTCTACTGCCTTACTGAACACAAATAGTATTTTCCTGTCAAATCTCCATCCGATTATCTTTTAATGCAGAAAAACATGCAGACCAGTATCAAGATAAAATTGAAACATCGAGAGGGTGATCATGTTAGGGTGATCATGTTAGTGAGGGCGTTGATCCTTAACATGTGTTTTAACATGGTGTCCTTTGTATTTATCGTTAGCGTTATTTCCCACTGTTTTATCTGTTTTAATCGAAGTATGAGAAAAGGAAACATTTTCTCGCATGGTGCTCGCAGTCTCCAGCAGGGGGCGGCGGCTGCCTCTGGTGCTATGCGCTCAGTTCACAAAAGAAGAAGACGAAGAAGAAGCGGCACCGCTGGTTAAATGAAAAATGGCAGCCTCGGTTTAGGGACATCGCAGTGAACACAGCGCTTATTAATCACCTTACACTTTCTGTATTGATACGTTTGTGACAGCAGCCACATTTAGTTGTTGTTGCGCTGACGAGGCAACGAGCCCGAGTATCTGTGAGTAGCCACGACACATCTGTTCATACAGCAACTCATAGGATTAGCATTGCGGTTAGCATGGGGCTACTTCGCTGGCTAGTTAGCTGAGTGTTTGTGGTACTTTGCGGTTGAAGCGTGGTCCCTAACACTTTATAACTAATGCATTGTTCTGTTGTGTAGTATTGAAAGTCAGGTCTAATGCTCAGATCGGTATTGGGTAGCACGCTAACTCCAGCCTCACACACACTGACCAACTCTCAGCTGCAGTGTGACAAATCCCGGCGGGTTGTGGTGCTATTAAGAATTCATATTTTCACAGAGATCCCGGGTTTGACATCATTGTTGAAGACCATGCTGCTCACACAGTGAGAGAAGCGGAGCAGCATCATGGATCTTTCTTCAGAGGAGGGAGAAACCTCCCATATGATCGATATGACCACGAGTGAAAAGGTAACGCTCTGCTGTTTACATCCTAATGCCGCTGGTGAGTAGACCTGGGACCTGCAGTATGAGGCAGGTGTAAAATACACAGGATACGTTTCTACACTGCGGTCAAGCTAGCAGACGTTCGTCTTTTCCTGATTTTAAGTGCGCCCGTATTACAGAATGTATGGCAAATGCAGGTAGTCCATGATACGGAGCGAGCCAATCTTTTATGCTACTGTAAAATCCCTTTATTCCATAATTTCTGACAAAAGTTGTCCTCAGGACCATCCTGACTGTTCACTCACTCAGTATCAAGCATATTTACTGCATCATTTTGGAGCAATTCAGCCTCAAAGTTCATTATTTTGAATTGAAAAGGGCATTATGTGCAATATTTACTCTACTGTAAAATCTCTTTGATCCATAATTTCTGACAAGGGTTTGTACACTTGATCTCAAGACCATCCTGACTGTTCACTCGCTCAGTATCAAACATATTTACTGTATCATTTTGGAGAAATATTGATAAAATATCCTTGTTATGTTGAACTTGCTTGGTAGCACAGCCCCCAGAACGTTCGGCATAAAACAAGTCAGCTGTTACATTACTAAATGAAGAAGAATATAATTACTATAATTTGGGTCAGATGACACCAGGCCTTTCTCTCCATGTTGTAACGTTAAAGGTTTTCTCTTGTCCTCTCAGGTGGTGGAGCTCCTGAATCAGGCTGCTCTGATAGCCACAGAGGAGAAGCTTGCTGTTCTCAAACAGGTTTGTGACCTTTATTTCCCATCAATATAGACAAAATGTTTTCCAGCATTACTAATGTACTGTTTCATGTGTTGATCTTTCCTGGGTGTGTCCCTGCTCTATGCCCCAGTGTGTGTTGGGATGTGATTCACGTACTCACAATATGAAGGCAATCTGTGGCAAAATAGATTCAGTGACTTTATTTAAAATTTCAGGTCCAGGAGCTTATCATCAACAAGGACCCCTCTCTTCTTGACAATTTCTTGGATGTAAGTAAATCTTTGTGCATCTTTATTAACTAATTGTAGTTCATTTGACATGTAATTTATACAGGTAATTAATAAGCCAAATTAAATAAAAAATGTTCTGTGCACCTTTACAATTTGGAAAATTGTTTCATAATCCTTCCACTGCTCTTTCCATCCTGTAGGAGATGATTGCGTTTCAGACTGACAAGTCTATTGAGGTTAAAAAGTTTGTCATCGGCTTCATAGAGGAAGCCTGGTGAGTTTCTTGACAAGTTTTAAATTTCATGTTCATGAAAGAAAAAAATGTCCCCAACTTTTTTAACCTTTTACTGTTTTATGTGTTTCGCAGTAAGAGGGACAATGAGCTCCTCCTTAGACTGATAGCCAACCTGAACATGTTGCTGAAGGATGAAAGTGTGAATGTGGTGAAAAAAGCCATCCTCACTCTCACCCAGCTGTACAAAGTTACTCTACAGGTTAGTACAGTTATCCACGAAATGCTCAAACTGACACATTATGGACTGTGATTTACCCAAAAGAGGAAATATGGTACATGTGATGTAGTGTGGTTTTTCATAGGAATACCCAACTACCACTATGGGTTGTCTTTTCACACTTTTATGCTCTTTTGTGACAGTGGCTGGTACGCTCCAAAACAGTATCAGACATGCAGGAGGCATGCTGGGATATGGTCACACAGATGAAAGGGGATGTTCTGGCCCAGCTGGATTCTGAAAATGACGGCGTGCGCACTCATGCCATCAAGTTCACAGAGTCACTAATTATCAGTCTGTCACCACGGACATCAGACTCTGACATCCCCAAAAGACAGGAGGGTGACATCAGCCTGGATAAAGTTCCTAAAGATCACTCGTACATTCGATATGGTACAGATATAAGAATCCTGTCACGGGGAAATTTATTTATATATTTTTTTCAGTTTAGTCCATTAAAGTTTGGTTATTCTCAATTTTCAACAGATGTCTTGTGCGAGGAAGGAAAGTCTGCGCTGGAGAAGCTGCTGAAGTTCATGGTCCACCCGGCCATTTCCAGCATCAACCTCACTACAGCACTGGGCTCACTGGCCACTATTGCCCGTCAGAGGCCAATGTTCATGTCAGAGGTGGTGCAGGCATATGAGACACTGCATGGTGAGTCCTTTTGAGCCAGTCTTGTGTGATGTACACACACAATCACAAATCACAATTTAACCCTTTGAACTGGAGAATCTTCAAATTCTTCATATCGGTTACCTCTGTACAACCTAAGATGAAAGTTTATGTGAGTCAGAAAACCATAATATATGATACAAGTACAGAATTTTGTTAAAGATTTAAAATAAAGTACAAAAATCATTTTTACATAGAATTTGGCTTCAATTATTTTGATCCAAAATATTTGTAAGTATAGAAAAATATCTTGACAAAAGTTATTTGAACTATGTACATTTTTTGTTTTTCACATTTGACCATTTACATCTGCTCCTCTTCCACCACGGGCCGTTTTTATAACCCATTTTTCACCACACATAAGGAAATGTAGTGTGATAAAGTAACAGAGAATGGAAAAGAATGAATGCAGTCACGCAAACACATGGCTCTAGAGTGTGACCATTTTTGCGCACATGCAACCAAAAGTCTGTGATGTGCGACTTACTAAGACTTTCAGGAACAGAGTAGAAGCAGCGGTTGGTTTGTGCCGTGTCAAAGTCTCTGTCTGAGTGTCCTCACTCCACACTCCTGCCAACCTGCGCGCACTTTACATTTGGAAACTGTCAAGAAAAGGTGTAATCAGTTATTGCGGTGCATTTTAGGTGCACCTACATTATGTGCTGGCGCACCTAAACAAAAAAATTGGTGCAAACAATGTAAAGAGTTAGTCTGGAGCCCTGCAAACAACAGTCTCTCACAACGCACATCCCCTGGCGCCATCCATTGCGAGTGTACAATGTGTTATGGCAGAAAACAAAAGTTTTTAGTTAGATGTTTGTGCTCAATGCAGAATTTCACTGTATTTAATATGATATATGAAATACCAATTTAATTTATTTCTGTATACTTAAACCTTTTTAGCAAACCTGCCGCCGACTCTGGCCAAGTCTCAGGTGAGCAGTGTGAGGAAAAACCTGAAGCTGCATCTAGTGGCGGTCCTCAAGCATCCCTGCAGCCTGGAGTTCCAGGGTCAGATCAGCACTTTGCTGCTGGACCTGGGAATGCCCCAGAGTGAAATTACCCGCTCCACGCCTGCATTGCGCGAGCAGCGCAAAAGACCTCGCCATGAGCAATACACAGAGGGAAAGAAGGTTAAGATGGGTGAGTCACAGTCACATCCAGCGTGTCGTAATTTGATTTTAAGTGCATGTGGAAAGTATAGAGATTATTTCAAAAACATTTTCTATTTTGCCAGAAAATATGCAAAAGTACTGTAGTTCTGTACAGCTCCACACCATTGTACACATTCTGACATTTACTACTTTACAGTGTAATGTATCTACAGAATCAGAGTGTCACATCCACAGTGCAGTATTTCTGATGTTTGTTCTTCTTGAGTTTAGAACCGACCTTGATGGAAGATGATGAGGACAAAGAGGAGCCTGCTCCTCTCACCGCCCCTAAACCAGCCGCTGCTCCAGTCGTACAGTCTGCCATTGACCTCACAGCTGAGTTTCTGCACCCGCTGCTCAACCCACAGAATGTTGCCAACCTGGTGAGCAGCGGCCAACGTTTTTTTTAAAGTTTGTTTCTCATTAAAATTAGACTGTGACCATTCAGCTTATATCTCTGTGTTGTTGTTCAGGTGCTCATCAGCATGGTGTATCTGCCTGATGTCATGCCAGCATCCTTCCAGGCCACATACACGCCTGTGGAGTCCGCAGGCACCGATGCGCAGATTAAACATCTGGCCAGGCTGATGGCAACACAGATGACTTCTGCCGGGATTGGTCCAGGTTAGTAACAAAGACATGCACTGTCATCAGAATGCATAGAATTTAGCTTGATAAGGATCTTTTTGTTATTTATTTATACAAAGGAACACTACACATATATTTGGCTGGGGCTTAAAATGTTTTTGTATTTTATAACTTTTAATAATTTATGGTTTCAAGAACATTTAACTGTTCAACATTTCAGTCGTTGTGAAAGTTGTAAAACATCCTGCCTCATTTCAAAAAGTGGCTGTAACAACAAGGTACAGTGTTTACATGTGAAAAGAAAAACCTGGCCAAAAGCCATCATCAGATATGTATTGTTTTAATTTTGATAATAGTATATTCCACACACATTCACTGTATATCTTAGGACTTGAGCAGTGCAAAGCCAGAGAGGATGAAGCATGCAAAGAGGAAGATAACGAGGAAGACTCTGGATCTAAAGACCTGCTCATCAAACGTAAAGTTCCAGCTGTGATGATGGGCCAAGCGATCTCCGTGGTGGGAGGTTACTCAGAAAACGTTCCACCCACTGAGGCTCCCAGTCCCGCCACTGTCAAGAGGCTTCCTGAGCCCATCCTGCCCACTGCACAAACCAAGTGAGTTCTGGCACAAGCACTGAAAGCTGCACCTTTCTATATTTCACACTGACTCTCCTATATAGCTGCTATCAGACCAGCACCGAGCTCCAAACAGTCTCCTGAAAGTTTTCATAGTGGCTGTATGTGAGAACACAAATGTCCTAATCAGTTGCTGTGGACATTCTCCAGAGTTTCTCTTGCTAGCCCGCTATTAAAAACTCTGGATAATGTCCGAATGCACCCACACAAGAATACAGCAGGAGATAATCGAGAAGATTCACCAGGGATGAGTGCGTTGATGCAAAACTGAAAATAAAAACTAAAAAGAAGCTTTTGGTGATAAGGGCCGACGCCGGTGTTGATGTGCTTTAAAAGAACACACATGATCTTCACAGTGGAATTTACATACTATGTAAATGGATGCTGCTTCATCCCAACCTGAATGCTCCTGTGATTTTTGTGTGTGAACACATCTGACCCAAAAAATCTCCTGCTGCGTTCTCCATATATGAAAGTCAAACTCCAGAGAAAGTCCAGACCCAATTGTCTGAGTTACATGTGGCATCTATTGCAGTTCTGTCCGTCCTGGGAGAGGAACCCTCACATGTGGCTCTCTTTAAGGGGATGTCACACCTTGTTAAGCCCTATGAGACAAATTGTGATTTGTTAATTTGGGCTATACAAATAAAATGTGATTGATTTAATCTGAGCAGTTTATGATTTTGTTCTTTTCTAGAATGACAGGGGCGAGTGGGAGGAAAAAGGTGTTTCGGTTGTCAGATGTCGTCCAGCCTTTATCAGACCCCCAGATTGAGACGTTGACCTCCAAAGCAGTCAAACGCATCCTACATTCAGAGAAGGCTATTGCTCAAAGTGGCATGTCCCATGTAAGTACTCAACCTGCACATGATTTTTAATGAACCTCTTTTGTGCTCGTTTAACGAGGTGACCATATTCAATCTGTGTGGCAGGTCCGAGTCAAGCTCCTCTCCAGGCTTGTGACGCAGTTTGACGGGATGATGAAAGAAGATGTGCTGGAGTTTATTTTAGATGACATCAGGACCAGGAGTGACCTGGCATTTTCTCTCCTGTACCAAGAGTACAACACTTACCTCAGCCAGCTGCCCTCTGGGCTGTTGGAAAGTTATGATCACTGTCTCTTCACCCTGCTGTCAGGCCTGCAGGAGAAACCAGAGCAGAGAGATGGGTGAGGAAACATTCACTTATTTGAAATATTTTTCTTATTTAAACAAATTGACAGACATGGTTTACTGGATATATCTTCTGTATTGACTGAATATGATAAAACAGTGTTTATTTTGTGACACTGTGAACCAATCACCAGCACAAACTGAGTCACATTTTGTTTTCACATTCTGTCTCTTTTAGACTCTTCACCAAACTGGTACTGGAGGCTCCCATTATAACAGAATCTGCTTTGGAAGTAATAAGACGGTACTGCGAGGACGAGGTAAATGGCACGACAAAGACATAGCTTGTTGTATAGTGTCAACTCCTAACATATCCACTTCAGTCTTTGTTTTCACCTTTCTTTCAGTCTCGGGTGTATTTGGGCATGACGACTCTGAAGGAGCTCATCATCAAACGACCCTCAAGGCAGTTTCAGTATCTGCATGTTCTTCTTGATCTCAGCTCACATGAAAAAGAGAAGGTGATAATATTCCTTGACCTTATTTTAAGTGCAGCTCCCACCTTTGTACATTTCTGGAAAAAAAAAATGTCTGCGTAGTTTTTCAAATTTTCAGTGACGGTGTTGTGTTTTCAGGTGCGGACTACTGCCTTGGCTTTTCTGAAGCGTATGTATGAGAAAGACCAGCTCAGAGACTACATAGAAAAGTTTGCCCTGAACTACCTGCAGCTTCTCGTCCACCCCAACCCTCCATCTCTTCTCTTTGGGGCTGACAAAGACACAGGTTTGGGATACATATCGATTTTTTTTTTAATATAAGGCTTAACCTGACCAAGAATTTTATCAGTCGAATCAGATTTTGCTGTTTAATACAAATATTTAACGATTTGTTATTTTTCTGTGAAAGCATATACAGTATGTACATTCACAGAGTAAACTTGTTGACCAGCTTCTTTGCAGCGTCAGTTTTCTGGTAAATGCATGTAGCATATAGATATGTGTTGACAACTGACTCAATGCAAAGACATTGCCTTCTCTTTACTTATTTAGATGTAAGAATAAGCAATCTGTTGTCATGAAGTGTTTTTATAGTGTCATGCAAACGCACACACCCACAGAGGTTTTAGAATGCTCTTGAATCTAATAGGCCAGGCTCTCAACACAATGTATTGTGCACAAGCATGAGTCTCTGGTGGCATTAAAAAACCCTTTTCATTCACTTTTCCTGCCTAATTATTACCTCCAAACCAAATAAAGAAAAACATGCATCTTCTGTATTATCAGTCTTCTCCTGCAACCTCACATTTTCTGTGTTTGAAACAGAGGTGGCTTCTCCCTGGACTGAAGAGACGGTGAGACAGTGTCTGTTCCTTTACCTGTCTCTGCTTCCTCTAAACCACCGGCTGGTCCATGAGCTCGCTTCTGTCTACACTGAGGCCATCGCTGACATCAAGCGCAGTGTGCTTCGAGCAATAGAGCAGCCTGTAAGTCACCTCTCACTCTTATTCCCTGTCTTTTGGAGGATGCTGTTTTTTGTTCCTTGTTTAGAACTCAATCGTTGGTTGACAAGCTTGTATGAGACAGTTCATCAGTATTTATGAGCATGAGTGAGCCTCTCTATACAACTAAAAAAAGGTTTTGATTTCTGTAGTTATGTTCCAAAAATGTTCTTCTATAAAGAAATGTATGTTTGAGCTATTGGAAAATCTATTTTTGCACATTATTTCCATAAAAAACAACCAATACAAGAACTAATGTAGAACTTGATCTTGAAGTTTCACCAGAATTTGTTAAGACCATCACTGTAGTGCTGTTGCTTCTTGTTCACAATTGAATATTAATTAATTCTCACACTGGAATGTCTTTATGTTTGTGTTTTTACAATTCAATTATATAAACACAATATTTGCTTCTAGACCTAGATGCTAAAAAGTGTTTTTAAAGTATGTCAGATGAAAATAGTGATGTTTAGACAAAGCTGTTGTGTTAAGTTAAAGAGATTACAACCAAAATCTGAAATTAATTGTTAAACACAAGGTTCTGTGGGTGTTTGAGGGAGGGATTTGTTTATCTGATGCACAGCTGTTAAGATTTCCCGGAAAGACAAGCATGACTAAATCAAACAAGGGCAAAGTCTGGACTGTATGTCTATCTTTCCCTTCATATGTTTTTAACTGGATTGCTGATAAGATAAGATAAATGAGAGCAAAAGTAACGGTTTGTGGTGGTGAAATCAAAAAGAAGAAAACAACTGTCTGAAACCTACAATGTCATTTCACGTGTAGTTTAAAAAAAGGGAAGTTTGACGATCTTTTAACGTTAATATTCATAAAAAGTCATCCACCAAAGGAAGAAATTCAATTAATAAATGCGTCTCTTGAGCTGGGTTCATTTTGAATTGTAATAACCATGTTTGTTCTCACCATGTTTGTAGATCCGTGGAATGGGAATGAACTCGCCAGAGCTGCTGCTTCTGGTTGAAAACTGTCCTAAAGGAGCAGAGACTTTAGTCACTCGCTGCCTGCACATTTTGACTGATAAAGGTAAAAAGCCATTGCCAAAAAAGAATTAGTTTAAATCCCAGTCCTGATGCACAATAGATGAGGTCAAATGAGTGGTGTTGATATAAATCCTTTATTTCCTTTATCCAGTGCCTCCGTCTCCTGAGCTGGTGGAGAGAGTTCGAGATCTTTACCATAAACGTGTGCCAGATGTTCGTTTCCTAATTCCGGTCATAAATGGCTTAGAAAAGGTAATGTTCTGAAACTCAGGTGGGATTTTATTGGTGAGTGATTTGGAGAATGATGTACCTTGGTAATATGTTTATCACACTGCATTGCAGCTGTCATGCTAATTTTTGAAAATCACAATGTATCCTCTCCTGGATTTTGTTTTGGTTGTTTTCCTCATAAAGAATGAAGTCATCCAGGCTCTTCCCAAGCTCATCAAACTCAACCCCATTGTTGTAAAGGAGGTGTTCAACCGTCTGTTGGGAACTCAGCACAGTAAGAGTCAATTCTGTCTTTCAGCAGTGGATGTCAGGCTGCCTTCCTTCCTAAGTCTTTTTTTTAATACATATGCATACACTCACTGTTTTATGTTGTCTTTCAGGTGAAGGAAGTTCCTCTGTGTCCCCTCTCACCCCAGGAGACCTGCTCATTGCCTTACACAACATAGACTCCACCAAATGTGACATGAAGTCTATCATAAAAGGTTGGTGGTTAGTGATTAAACCTTCCAGCCAAAACCTTGAAAAATCCTTAATGCAATTAAACTTGGCCGAGTAACAAACTGTTCAGGTCTGTTCAGTGGTTTATCAATCAGTCTGTTGACAACACGCATGATGCTGTGTGTGTTTTTACTGCAGCTACCAACCTCTGCTTTGGGGAAAAGAATGTTTACACTTCGGAGGTTTTGGCGGTGGTGATGCAGCAGCTGATGGAGCACAGTCCCCTCCCCATGCTGCTCATGCGCACCGTCATTCAGTCTCTCACCATGTATCCCAGACTTGGCGGCTTTGTCATGAACATCCTGTCCCGCCTCATTGTGAAGCAGGTCAGCATCAAACTCCAGCCATTTATTTCTGCAGTCATGATGTTCAGTATTCACAGCTTCTCACTGTTTTTCCTAATATTTCTTTCTACGGCCTGGTCAAATAGATAAGAATTTGTCCAATCCATATTGGACTGGAGAAAGTTCACAAATAGATATCAATCCCGATCATAATTTTTGCTGTGTCACTGGTTGTTCTGCTCCCCTCTAGGTGTGGAAATATCCTAAGGTGTGGGAAGGATTTGTGAAATGCTGCCAAAGGACCAAGCCTCAGTCATACAGCGTGCTCCTACAGCTGCCGCCCGCCCAACTGACGAGTGTGTTTGAACGCTGCCCAGAGATGAGAGATCCTCTTCTACAGCATGTCCACTCCTTCACCCCTCATCAGGTAACGGGTTAAATGAACCTCATTCCCAGTCCACAATTCTGTCTCTCTTGGGCTTTACTTAGTTACTAACTGCCCCTGTTTCTCTTTAACAGCAAGCTCACATACCCACCTCCATCATGACGATCCTGGAAGCAAATAAAAAGTCACAGCAGAAGCCAGTAGAGCCTGTTGCGGAGAAAGAGGTAATGGATAAAGATGCTACTCTCACTTTTCTGTGCCATAAATGTTTTAAGTCCTTGAGTGACATATGTATAGATATTCTTCAAGAGCCTGTGTAATTGTGTGAATTCCTTTTTTTCTTAACTATCAGCTCATATGTTGTAAATTTCTGATGGTCCACATTTTTAAACACCAATGAGGCATCCCTCCATTTATTTGCTTATCATTGGGTCCCTCTCTGCTTTATCACACAGATCGAAACACTCACTGCTCCAGCTGCCCCAGTTTCAGAAATGGCTCCCACTGCAACCCTGAAAGAACCAGAGATGGCAGTCCAGCACGAGCCGGTCCAACACGAACAGTTCCAGCAGGAGCTGGTCCAACAAGAACAGTTCCAGCACGAGCCGGCCCAACATGAATCGTTCCAGCACGAACCATTCCAGCAGGAGCCAGTCCAACAGGAACTGCTCCAGCCTGAGCCGGTCCAGCACGAGCCGGTCCAGCACGAGCCAACCATCGTGCAGGATGAAGAACCAATGGAGCAAGAAGAGTTTGAACCTGTGATACAAGAGGAAAGTGTTGACACTGTCTCCCAGGTAAATTGAATGAAATGTGATTGCATTACATCACATAAAATTGACCAATTACGTCTATGTGTTAGTGTTAAAACTCCATAGTAGCGATGGCAATGAAACCTCCTAAAAAATATGAGCTTGTTTGTGTAACAGATATGCTTTTGGACTAGAATGGACCAACAGATCCCACAAAAGGTTAAGATAAAATTGTATATAAAAGTCGAAAGGTTTAGTTTGTCAAGATCCCCATTAGCTACAGCTTTATTCTTCCTGGGGTCCATAAAAGCTTTACATTTGACAATACTTTATTACAATTTACAGCAAAATACTACAAAATAAACAGGACAAAACTAGAACACACACATCCTCACAACTTTATACTTCTATCTTATCATTGGCATAATCCATTGCCCAGCCCCTCTAAAAGTTCTGTGCTCAAAATAGTCCTCACAAAGATTTTTTTTTTTGCTTCTCCTCAGGTGGAATTGGAGAGAGCAAGTGAGACACCTTCACCTCAGCCAGAACCAGCTGAGGAGCTATCGGAGGTATCTCAACCTGAACCTTCAGATCTCCAGGAGCCAGAGAGAGATGTTGAAGCTGAAGTCACCGGCTCTGATGCTGAAAGCGGAAGCGAGGATATGGAATGACAAATACACTCAAAGTAAAAGAAATCTGTCCTCAACAGTTAAGTTTTTTTTTACGATTTTGTGTCAAGAATTCTTTTTGTATTTGTAGAAAACAGACTGAGGAAATAAATACAGTATAATAAAGTTTTGTGTACGGAAGTGTTCCGTATGTCTTCATTGTCATATTGAGTTGGCAAATAAATTAACAAAACATTGGTTTTCTGTCTGTCTCCATTATCTTCCCCAAATACTGCCAGGTGGTCCAGCATGCATCTACCAATAACATAATAATAATAATAAAGATCATGGATGGGAAAAGGTTTTTAGTTTTGAACAACTTTAAAGTGTGACCAGAAAACCAACTTAGCTTTGGCGATTACTTCATTTATTTAACCACAAATGTCGTTGTTCCGGTTTTGTTGAATTGAGGGGAATATGTGCGACTTTTATTTTGTAAATCCAAACCGGAGCTAGTCTCAAGCCCTGCTCTCGCGAGACCGAATCAGCTCATTGTTTACCGGGGCTCGTCACCTCGCGAGAAGAGTCCGTACCTGAGTCGCTCCGGGTTGTGTACTAACTTTAAAGAGTTCCGCCTGAGCAGGAGACACACATCCGCTTCTGATCCGCTGCCCTCCGTCCGCAGTCCGGATGAAAGCGGTCATTCTCGCCGCTGGTTACGGGACCAGGCTCCAGAGGGATGTGTCGGCGGACAGCAGCGGCAGGTTCGATCACCTGGTCGGCTGTGCGAAGCCGCTGCTGCCGGTGGGACGCTGCGCTCTCATCTCTCACTGGGTTGGAGCTCTCACCTCGTCCTGCGCTGTGGACGCTGTCTATGTTGTTGTAAGTCACTCTAGTGCAAAGGTCAGGTACATGACTCGAGTATCGTTCAACAGTACTTTTGTAGTACTACTACTTACCTTACCTTACCTTACCTTGCTTGAATATTTTCATTTGTGCTAAAGTTTTACTCAACTATATTATACTATATTCCACTGTTCATTACTAGCTAGCAATGTACTCATTTATGCTGTATCATACATTTATTAGGGGTAGTTTGTAGTATCTTTGTATATGAAGCTTTTTTATACTTTGATTTTGATGCATTAATGAAGAACTAACTTCCCAACAGTATATAGCGGTTGAATGATCTGCATGATGTAAGTTACCATCAGCATATTATTGTATCAACAGTACAGCAGCTGCAGAAATAAGTTGTATTTCATAATATTCTCAGTAACTTTTGCACACTTGACTCAAGCTAAAAACAGATATTGTTCTATATGAAGGAGCCGGTGTCTGTACTTCACTCTGAATGACCCGTTATCTCTGTTCTCTCCAGACCAACGCTCTCTACCGAGCTGCATTTGAAGAGTGGGCCGCACGTTTCACTAACGTCAAGATTCTCAGCGATCAGACGAGAAGCAATGACGTAAATAATGTTTTACAATTATCCTTATCACTGCCATCTTAAGTTATGGGGCACATTTTGGGCCTTTTCAAACCATCCACTGACTCCATGCTGAACTGCACTTATAAATCCACGTCTTGTCTGTAAACCTCTACATATTCTCACTCCACCAGGAGCGCCTTGGTGCTGTGGCCTGCCTGCAGCTTGCAGTAAAGCACTTCAAGATAGAAGACCATGTTATAGCTATTGGAGGGTATGTCTTTAAACTTGCAGTATCAATATCACCATTCAGAGAAATAGTCGTACAGCTATGAAAATCAAGTCCTCTCTCCAATCCTAAACAGTGATACACTCTTCAAAGAAGATTTTAGCCTCAGTCAGGTCAAAGAGAAGTTCTCTGACTTCCAGGCAAAGTGTGATGACAGCTGTCTAGTGCTGTCATACCAGTGCAAAGATGAAGGTGAGTGTTACAGCATTTGCTAAGTGATGCTAATCAGCAGTGGTGGAGGAAGTACTCAAACATTTTACTAAAGTAGAGGTACAAATAGACAAAAACGGTATAAAGTAAAATTGCCACATTCACTTTCTTACTAGAGTAAAAGTTAGTCTTTGTCTGTAAAGAATTAAAGTAAAAGCACTTATTATTCCCTTATACAAATTCAACATGCATCTACTACATCATTCTGGGTCTTGGCGGTTTCCTCTCATATCCACTTCAGGAGCGAGGGACGGTCTAAAGTCACTGTCCTGCTCTGATTGGATCAGTGGTTTAATTCTCCTCATTATTGATAACTGAATATAAAAAATAGTGTGAACATGAAATAAAGTACATTGTAAAAATGTTGTGGAGTAGAAACGAGTACAGATATTTGCTGATATGTAGTGGAGTTGGAGCAAAACTGAAAGGTCCCTGAGAATAAAGTACTGAGGTACAGATATATAAAAAATGTACTTAAGTATGTAAACAAAGTAAATGTACTTTGTCAAATCCCACCACTGCTGATCAGGTGCTTTCAGAACCAGACGTTTAGACTATGACGACTAGACACTGCAGCTTCAGTCTATAAGTTTGGTCTCATATGTGACTTGATAAAAGTTGGTGAGCCTTGTATCAATCTTGCCTTTGCTCACAGCTAATTCTTTATTGTGTTTCTGTACAGAAACCCATAAATACGGGATACTGGAAGTAGACAGTGAACTTTGTGTCCTCTGCATGAAGGAGAAACCTCTTCCTTCTGAGACTAAGTCAAGGAGAGCAGTAAGTTCACCATAAACACAAACCACAGCCTACTAGTGGTAAATAACACTAAATACACTAATACAACTTGAGTTGTGTCGGCTGAAACAATAAAACAATGATTTCGAAGTGCTCAGCGTTGTTTTGGGGGTATTCACATTAACATGTGATAATGATGTGTAGGAATTGTAGCCCTTTTTATAAAAACCTGTAGTCAGAATAGAAAACCCAGCTCTCATATTTAATATCCCGTAGAAAAGTATCTGCAGTCACTGACAGACTCATGTTTAAGACACAAACATCAGCAGATTGGTATCTTTCCTCATGATTCTCAGTCAGGTCAGATATTTTCATCATTTTGGTGATTTATTGGACAGTCAAGAACATTCTACTGTATTGATAAAAACTCTTTGTTTTGACTGTTTAGCTCCATTGTCCAGTTACATTATCCTAAAACTATTTGCTTTAATCATTGTCAAATATTTGGCAAGTTAAGGTAACTGGTATTTTATGTATCAAATAACTTGAACAAAGCCTGTAATTGTTTTTATATTTCAATAACAGGAAGCTAATACACTTTTATTTTATTGTGTTTCAGTGTCCTTGTTTCTATGTGTTTTCAAAGAAAAGTCTGCCTCTGTTGGATACATTCCTTGAGGAAAAGGAGGTAAATTTAATCATTTTAATTCCCTCATATGACAAAAGGGAAAATTGTAAACTGTATGTTTTTATATTCTCATAGGATGCTCCTATTGAACAAAAAGATGCCCCAGGAAACTTTGTGTCTTGGCTCATTCCAAGGTAATTTCTGCTGGACTGGAATGAGGGATCTACTAAACTAAAAATAGTTTTATGTATTTCTCAATATTTTTTCTTTCTTTCAGGAAACCAGTTTATGTTCATCAGATTTCTGGGCGTTTTGATGTTGGAAACCTGCCGTCCTATATTGAATGTGACCTTTACTTCAAAGAAAATCTTCATGATGTAAAGTCTTACATGATGTAGAAGAAACAGAAAATATTTTTTAAACATGCTGGAAAAAAAACAGAAAAAAAAGTCACCTGAATCATGAAATTATGGTCAAGAATCGGTAACAGGAAAACAAGAACTTATTATAACATATTTTATTAAAAAAATTTCTTACAACCAGTGATTTCTCTAACCAGTGAGGAGTCTTGTGCACTTGTCAGAGGCCTTTTCACGACTGTCCTCCATCTTTGCGATGCGGGAGCCGAATTGCATGGCTCTTTTCGGCAGGACTGCAGACTGACGGAGGCCGAGCTGTCTCGCTGTCAGTCTCAAGAGGAGTTTCTCCCCGACACCTCGAGGAAGTGACAGATCCGCCTTCTCCCACACAGGAAGAGAATTCAGGTGGCTCACCACGTCCTCATCCAAGTAGGGAAATCTGGAGATACAAGAGTGATTGTAAGATTCAATACTTGAAATGAGGGTGAATGGAATTTCATCTGTGGTGCTTGTAGCGCCCATTTTTTGATAAAAAGAAATTAACTACAAAACTACATATGCAATGTTGCTGTTTCTTCAGATATGATCACTAGCTACACTGTCAACAATTAGTATTGTGACTATTTCTTTTGATAAATACATAGCTCCAGTTAAAATTGTCAGCATGTTGCAGTTCACAGGTATTTTAGATGTGGCTGAGAGGACCCCTTATCAGGCTGATGATGGTGGAGAGAACTGTGCCAAGATCTACACAGTCAAACCTTTTACTATTAAGTAGTAATAAATGTGAAATTATTCCCAACCCTAGCAGATGTATAGATCCAGCATGAGAGAGAGAAATGTCAATCAGTCTGCACATGCCTACTCAGACCTGACACAAGGTGTCACCACACACACAGTAAATAAAAACATCTGTGCAGGGTGCTAAAATACTGCTCACCTGACTTGGACAGAACCGTATATCAAAATATGTTATCACAGTAACTCCTTACACCTCTTATGTTTCAGTCTAGAGAATGAAACCTGATAACATGTTCTTTATCCATTGGCAAGTTCCAATATGTGTGACAAGATGAGGCCCATCTCATTCCCTCTCCATTTGTGTGTGTTACTGGACTTCTCTTGAACATTGCCCTGCTCTTTATGCTTCCTGGTGTAAACAGCCTTTTTTTTACTGCACATTTAAACAGGAAACACACAACTGTAATAAATAACATTAACGATGACTGCTGATCCAGAGTCCTTCCATTTGCTGGCTGGCTCAATGGCCTGGCTTCCAGGAAACCTGGAATGGAACTGAGCCACTGATGTTTGTGACGCCTGTGTATTTCCTACTATGACAAATCAAAATCCCTGCTGCCAAAAAGGCCTGTCACCAGAGACCAGATATCATTTCCTAGTCTACACAAACTCATAACAACCCAAGAAAGATGTACATATTTGAAGATTTAATCTGGCTACACACTTGTAAACAAGTTGCGAAACCACTATGAGCTGTTACAAGCCAGTGTCACTTTGAGCTGTTCTCCTCCTGACTTTGGATTCTGCATCCTCTTATAATTTGCCAAATCAAGCAACTTATACTGTAAAAGTTTTTTTAAGCCTATAAGTATATGTAATGGTTAATGGTAGTATCCCTATAAAGCAACTTTTTCACAGACAAAATAAGCAAGTTCAAGATTTCAGTTCGGGTACCTTGAAATTTGTATTTAAAACCAGTTCCACACGTACCTCGCCTCCTTCCCATGGTCCCCTATAACTCTGTCATCTCTTCCCAAATTCCTGGAGGAGATCCTGTCCAGCTCCATGGCTAGCTCCTGGATCAGTCCCTCATGGCCAGACATCTTAAAGCGGACTCTGTGTCTGGAGTAACCTGCTAACTGCTCATCTGCTCCGATTCCTGTCAAAATGACCTGCAACACAAAAGCAGGTCAATGAGAATTGTGAAATATCTATTAATTAACATTTTGTTTTAATACTGTAAGTATGAATTTGTAATCTATGATCAATTAAATCCCCTTTACTAAAAATTGCAAAACTGTTTACTTGATTTCATCAATTGAAAAGTTAAATAGAGCAGTCCAATGATGATAGGACCTCACCTTAGCTGATGATGAGAAAGGTCTCTGGTCATTGTCCTCCAAGATGAACCCTGTCCCTCTGGCTGCAAACCACACAGCACATCCAATGCTGTCATCAAGAACTGTATCCAGCGGATGCACCAAATGACAAATACGTTCCTGGCGCATTTTCTGCAGCTCCTCTTGTGTAATATTGATTTCCACAAAATTCCATCTTCTCTCCGGATTCAGGTCTTGTAATTCCTTGAGACCTGCTTTCCCAGTAATTCTGTCTGGAACATCAAAAGGGCTGAATGTTCTGGAACCAACTCCGTCAGTCTTAGTGTCGGTGGGCTTATTTTTGTGCTTCTTGTGATTCTTTGCCGAGTCCTTCTGCTTCTTTGGCTCTTGTAGTTTGAAAGCTACATTGAGAAGATCTATGGGCTGATGGGCAGGTATGTGACGGTCGGCCAAAGCAGCCAGAATCATAGAATCGATACCACCAGAGAAAAGTATAGCAATGCTGGCCTGGTCTTTATTAGGTGATTCGTCTGGCACCTCAATCGACAGACTCTGGACTCGTCGCCTCAACGCCTCACTCAGAACATCGATAAGACGGCTCACCTCATCATTTTCCTCTTTGCTTGCAAGCAGCTGCTGCAGATCTTTGATAGATGAAGCTGAATTTGACTGAGCTTCTGTCTCATTAAATGACTTTGGGATGGACATATTAAGAGGGCACACGGGTGAGGTGAGCACCAGTCCTGATTGGTTCATAATAGCAGTGCAGCCACTGGGAACAGACTTCAGTAAAGTTTCATTGCAAGGAAAGATGACACTCTTTCCTGCATAAGCCCAAGGATAGACCTCAAATGTCACAGTCCCGGCTTCTGTAACTGCCTTAAGGTCAATCCTATAAACACCAACTGCTGGGACTTCTTGCCAAGGAAACTGATCACACCCAGGATTGTGAGCTGCCACAGATGTCAGGGTCAAAACCCCTGCATCAAATTTCCACAGCAAACTCCGTCTGCCAAAGAAGTCTCTGCCAAACCATAGATAGTCTCCAGCCTTTTGGTAGTAAACAAACCCCCATGGTCCCCTCACACTGGACAGGACTGACAGGATCTCTGAGGGGCTGTTGCAGGACAATAGTGCCTGAGACACAACAACAGTGTCATTCTCCGATGGCTTCACTGGCAGACCACCAAAAATCTCCCCATTCCATAACAGCACGTTTCCAATGTTGTCTTGTAGTGGCTGAGGGGTAAGGAGACCTCTCATGTGAAGGACGTGGGCAGAGAATAAACACTGGTAACAGGGATCCCTGCCTGTAACTGTTAGATCCTGGCTCCAGTTGGGTCCTCTTCTCTTCAAATGTTCATAAACTGTTTTGTCCCACTCAAAATGAGCAGGTGACAGACTCAGCAGACAAAATATGCCACACATTGTTGCGGTGAAGATCAGTCTCACATGTCCTGCAGCTCCTTTTTCATATTATCCAGATCCTCTGGGGACAGAAATAAAAAAATCAGTTTAATTGTTAATTAATAAGACCAATCAGCTTATCAATTTAAATTATGTTAATTCACTCAACTTACTTTTGCATGAACCCAGTGTCTGACTTCTGTCTGCCAAGAAGAATATGTTACTGTTCCTCTGTTGGATGTAGACGTTCTGAAAAAAGCATTTAGGATCATTGTGGTCATATGCAGTATTAAGTTATCAATGCAATGACTCTCTCAATTCCCTTCTCTACCTGGTAGTGTCAATGAATAACCAAAATATAAAAATACAATTGAAGAGTAGCAAAGGTATTTGAGAAACAATAATAAAAAATAAATACACATATCTGGTCATCAAACACATCGAACACACAAGACCATACATACTGAGGGGGGCCGTATTAACAGGGATTGTGCAAACATGAGTGTTCTTTGGGCAAAGAAAAAACATCAGTAGTGCAAGTTGTTTTCAAAATGTGGCAAAGGAAAGTTGTTCAACTAAAATGTTCCTATTATTGTTGATAGAATAGGTTAAGCTTCATTTCAGACTTGTTAGGCCAATACCAGTTTAAGACTAAAATAAATAACACAGGGATTAAAACACATACAGACTTTTGTTCCAGTGCTTCCAACACAAGATTAATTCACTTTGTCACTCAGTGTCATATTGGTTAAGGCCCTAGTGATCATGTTTTTGAGGCAGTTCATCTAAAAACTAAATGCATAAGATAGGTGCATAAAAGGTATTAGCCACAAATGTGTGACTTGCACTGGTTTATCTTAGAAGCTTGACGAAATTTGAAATAAATGATGATCTGCCATCTAAACCTTTTTAACATAACATGACAGTAACCGCACCACAAGTCTGCTGTGAAAAGTGGACTACAACATTATCTGTACACATAGAATATGTTCATGCACAGTTGACAGCACTAGTGCTGCACATCATCATCATCACAAAAATCCTCCCTGGTGATGTGACCCCTATATCTAGTTTTATTCACTACAGTTAAGACTTATCGTGAAAACACTCACAGTGCACACAATAACTTGAGCATACATATATAACACACTTGAACACACTCACCCTGTTTTTCTTCAGGTTCGAGAGCTCGTCCACCACAACTTTCTGCTCCTTGATCTGGAATTTAAGAAATATTTCACTGAACTGATGAAAGAAAATATGTTTAGTCCAGAAAAGGTTGATAACAGACAGCAGAAAACAGGCCTTTACCAGGCCACCAGCTTTATGTTATTGGCTCACACATTAGCCACCAGCTACATGTTATTGGCTCATACATTAGCCACCAGCTACATGTTTGTGTCTCGCACATTAGCCACTAGCTACATGTTTGTGTCTCGCACATTAGCCACCAG